TTTTAAAATTTTAAAAAAGCAAAAATATAGTTTTTATTTCTTAAGAGCATGCGCATAATTTTGAATTTTAGCAAAGGTTTTCAAATTCACTCACAAACAGGTACAATTACTTAATGTTTAGACAGTATGAAACGAGCTTGCTGCACCTGAGCTGTGAAAAGATGAAAACATTTTCTTGAGGTGGGTATTTGTTTGTTTGTAGTTAAGCACAAAGCTACACAATAGGCTATCTGTGCTCTGCCCACCATGGGTATCGAAACCCGGATTCTGGCGTTGTAAGTCCGCAGACATACTGCTGTGCTACTGGGGGGATGGCAAACGCTAGTACTTTTAGCGGTAAAATCATAAACATATCACTTGTGTTAGTAGATATGAACAGTTTATGATTTTTTAAATTATCAAAGTCACTTAATACTTTCTCTGCACTTCGTTTTCACTTCATGCACTAAATAATTGTGTCTTAAAGTGATTGGTAAATGTCATAAAGTTTGTGACTTATAGTTAGTGGTGAGTGTCTTAAAGTGTCTGGTGAGTGTCATAAAGTGATTGGTAAATGTCATAAAGTTTGTGACTTATAGTTAGTGGTGAGTGTCTTAAAGTGTCTGGTGAGTGTCATAAAGTGATTGGTAAATGTCATAAAGTGAATGACTTATAGTGGCTGATGAGTGTCATAAAGTGATTGGTGAATGTCATAAAGTTTATGACTTATAGTTAGTGGTGAGTGTCTTAAAGTGTCTGGTGAGTGTCATAAAGTGATTGATGAATGTCATAAGGTGAATGAGTTATAGTGACTGGTGAGTGTTTTAAAGTGACTGGTGAGTGTCATAAATAATTGATGAATGTCATAAAGTGAATGACTTATAGTGGCTGGTGAGTGTCATAAAGTGAATGCCTTATAGTGCCTAGTGAGTATCATAAAGTGAATGACTTATAGTGGCTGGTGAGTGTCATAAAGTGAATGCCTTATAGTGCCTAGTGAGTATCATAAAGTGAATGACTTATAGTGGCTGGTGAGTGTC